AGGGAAATGGATGGCATTAGAGCAGATTATGCTAAGTGAAGCTAGCCAATCCCTAAAAAACAAATGTCAAATGTCTTCTTTGATATAAGGAGAGTAACTAAGAACAGAGTAGGGATGAAGAGCATGAGAAGAAGATTAACATTAAACAGGGATGAGACACCAATCACATAACATTAACTCCATAGGGCTGGGATTGTGGCTCAGCAGTAGAGCACTCACCTAGTACGGGCACGTCCCGAGTTCTCTCAGCACCACATAAAAATAAAGGCATTGTGTTGTGTCCATCTATAAAAAAGATTCTCTCTCTCTCTCTCTTTAAAAAAATGATCAAGAATACACACAATAAATGCTGGCAAGGTTGGAGAGAAGGTACACTTGTATGTTATTGGTGAGACTTCCAGACTAGAACATCCACTCTAGAAAGCAGAATGGCTTTTCCTCAAAAAACTAGGTATGAAACCACCATATGAATCAGCTATCCCACTTCTTGGTATTTTCCCCAAAGATCTGAAATCAGCATACTACAGTGATACAGCCACTTCAATGTTTATAGCAGCACAATTCACAATAGCTAAATTATAGAGTAAACAAATGATTAGATTAGGAAATTGTGAGATATACACACACATGCACACACACACACAATGGAGATCTATGCAGCCATAAAAAGAATGAAATTATGACATTTTCCAGTAAAATGGAAAGAAATGGAGAATATCATTCTAAGTGAAATAAGTGAAACTCAGAAACTCAAAGGTTAAATGTTTTCTCTCATATGTGAAAACTATAGTAAAATTAAAAAATGGGGGAGGGAAGTATAGGATAACATTAAGATGAAGGTTATATTAACAGTGTAGAAGAAGAAGATCCAGAGGCAGAGTGGAGGGATGGGTAAGGGATGGATATGCAGAATGAATTCTTTAAAAATCATGTTATGTCCATATATAAATATATGACAGAGAACTTCACCTTTATGCATAGGTAGAAAGAACCAATCAAGTACAAATTAATAGACAAGAGAAAGTCAGTCTAGTAGAGTACAGGAAGGAGAATGGGAGAGGGGAAGGAGGATGGAGGGGTTGAGACAGGCATATCATGAACTGAAATTGAATTTTGAGCATGTGTTTGTTGGGATCAACCCAAATTCTATATTTAACTATAAACCTATAATAAAAATTTTTAAATAAATTCAACTTCTAAGAAAAAATGTTCACTGATCACACTGAAACTGTTGAAGTGATCCAGAGTAATGTATCTGGAAAATTTCAGAATCATTTGGAATCAAACAGGCTTCTTAAATGATGCATTATACAAAGGCGATATCAAAAGGCAGAAAGTATTTTGAAGTGTTTTATGAAAATAAAACATGACATCAACATTTGTGAAAAATATATAAAAGAAATTTCCATGATAAAACATCTACAAAAATAAAAGCAAGTGAAACTGAAAGAAGAAAAGGAAAAAGAATATATATGAGAGATCCAACTGGAGACACAAAAACTGGTTCCAGGAAGTGGTAAAAATAATCGATATACCTCTAGCCAGATACATAAGGGGGACAAGACACAAATTACCAATGTGAGAAACAATTCTAACACAAGAAACGAAGGGGAGGGTGGATCATAGACGTCGATTAAATCAAAGAAAAAGAAAATGTTGTGAACAACTTTGTGATAATGATTCCCACACCTTAGATGAAGAGAATAAATCCTTGAAAGGACACCAACTACCAAATCTACTCAAGAAGAAATAGTTAACCTGAATGGTATATATTTATTATTAAGAGAATTGCTCAAATTAAAATCTTCTCTTATGAAACACTATAGGTCAGATGACTTTGCTGGTGAATTTTGCCAAATGTGTAAGGGAAAAAATACCCAAATTATACAAACTCCTCCAAAATAACAAAAATAACACACACACACACACTCACACACAATTTTGAAAAAGAATACTTGTTATAAAGCTACAGTAATCAAAATGATATACTGGCATAAAAATAGACAAATCAATAGAACCAAATGGAGTCTACAAATACATCCAAATATAAATCAATTTTCAACATAGGTGCCAAACAATTCAATGGGGGAAAAATCTCTTCATAAATTCTACTGTCACAATTGGATAGATGTATTAACTATTTAACTCTTATCCCACACCCAAACACACACACACACACACACACACACGTAAAATAATTAACAAAAATCACACATGGAACTAAATGTCAGAGCCAAACTATAAACTGCCAGGAAAAAACATTAAAGCTTAGTGATCTTGAATTTGATAAAGATTTCTTGAACTTGTCACTAAAGGCACAAACTATAAAAATTTTAAAAATCAATAAACTAGACGAATAAAATTTTTTAAAAATTGCTATTCTAAAGACATTATTAAGAAAATGCAAATGCAAACCACAGCCTGGGAGAATCCAGTTGAAAAATTACATCTGATAAAAGACATATCTAGAATCCACGAAGATTTCTTTTAATTCAATTTTAAGAAGAGAACCCAATTAAAAATGGCCAAAACATTTTAACAGAGCCTTTACCAAAGAAGACCTCTGGAAGGCAAATAAACACATGAAAATATAATCATAAAGGAAATGCAGATTAAAATAACAATGAGATGCAACAATATATTCACTAGAATGTGTAAAATTAAAAATATTGACTGACTGTGGCTGGGCACACACTTATAATTGCAGTGGTTTGGGAGGCTGAGGCAAGAGGATCACAAATTCAAGGCCACTACTGAACTACTTATTGTTCAGTATTTAATCTCCAGTATTATTCAAGCAATTTAGTGAGGCCCTGTTTCAAAATAAAATGTAAAAAGGGCCAGAGATGTGGCTCAGTGGTTAAGTACTTCTGGGTCAAATCCCTGGTATCAAAATAATAATAATAATAAAGAATGAAAGAAAGAATTAAACATTTATTGAAGAAGGTATTCTGTGTGTATGATACTATACAAAGAAAAAAAAAGATTGTACCAAGTATTGCCAAGAATTCGAGATAACTGCAACTGCCATACACTCCTCATAGGAACATGAACTGTTACCACTGCTTTTGAAAAGTTTGGTAATTTTTTTAAATGTTAGATATTGGCCACGTAACCAAGCCATTCCTATTCTAGATAATACATATTCACACGAAGACTTGTACATGATTGTTCATGATATCTTTATTTATAATAGCCCCAAACTGGAGACAATTAAAATGTACATAAATAATGAATGAATAAAGAAATTGCAGAGCATTCATATAACAGGATTTTAATCAGCAAATAAAGAAATGAACTATTGATACACAAAGGTCATGAATGAATCTCATTATTATGTGGAGTGAAAGAGTAAGACAAAAAATGAATGTACATAGTATAATTTCTTTTATAGAAAATTCTAAAAAATGTAAACAGTCTGTAGAGTAAAAATGTAAACTAGAAAAGTAGATCAGGGATTTCTTGAGACTAGTGTGGAATGGATAGGAAGGAGCAACAAGGAACAATTTGATTACAAAGTAGCACAAGGAAACATTTGAGGTCAATGGATACACACATCATCTTGATTGTAGAGATGGCTTCATGGATATTACATAGGTCAAAACTTTCCAGATGGTACACTTTGAATATGTGCAGTTGATTATATGGCAGTTATATACAGATATTGCACTTTATCATTACATACTGGAAAAATTTTGGCTTCAGCATCAGATACGTGAGTTTGAATGTAACTCTGCTCTTATGATGCAAACTTACATAAGTTACTTCAGTTTTGAGTGTCAATTTCTGTTTGTTTATGTATTAGTAAAAATAATTCTATGTGAGGATAAGAATATGTCAATGGCTTGTTGTATGACAACGTATATTATATTATTCTTAAACCTACTTCCATTCCTCTATTCTATGGGCACCCTTCTTGTATTTGACATATGCCCTTGAATAGGTACGTATGTATTCATGTATATGCTTTAAGGTAATGAAAGGATGTTGTGTTATAACTCTTATTTTTCTGTTTATTCTAAATGTTAAGGATATATTCTTGTTTATCTATAGATATCCAATAAGCTGTTTCTAACTACTGTGTTATTTTCCACATTATGTATCCACCAAACTTGACTCATCAGTTTCCTAAGAGTTGAACGCTTCTATGTCCAACTGACTGCTTAAAGAATAAAATGAATATCATAGTACTTGTCTCCCTATGAACCTGCCCAAAAAGTTTCCTCGCATGTATATCCAAAGTGAGAGAGTTGGATCATAGGACTGACAGGATTCATATTATTCAGTACATCCAGATTTTTCCCCAAAAGTGTTGAATCAATTTAGTCTTCCACCAGCACTTGAAATTAAAGATGCTACTAATTTTTGCCAATACAATGGATATAGGATCTCACCTGAATTAGCATTTCTTGGATTACTACTAAGTTTGAGCATCACTTTCTACTTTTACTAACTTCTCAGGGTTTCCCTTTGTAAATTACATTCTTATTGCCTGCTCATTTTTATATTGGGTTCATGTCTTTTACTTTTTGAAGTACCATGAAATGTCTGTTAATGTCATTAATTTTATGCATTGTAAAAGCCACTCCAGTCTGTCACCAGCCTGTAAGCTCTAAAGTGTTATTTACTGACTAGAAATCTTTCATTTTAATATAGACACAGGCACTATTTCTTAGCCCGGAACACAGTTCTTTAGAACTTTTTTTATTTTATTTGAGGAAAACGTTTCCTCACCCATACCTCATGCATAACCCTCCTACATTATCTTCTAATAGTTTATGCTTTTGCCTTTTCATCCAACTTTAATCTTTCTGGAGTCCAACTTTTTTGCATTTATTTTTTTCCATACGATGGGACAATGTCTCAATACCATCTGCTAAAGTTTGTTCTGTCTCCGTTACGTAAGTGTTGCCTCTTTACTAAATATCACTCACATTATTTTTATGAAAGAGTAATGCTCCTGGAAGGGTAATGACCCAGAATAATGAGGGTTAAGAGAAATATCCCTGCCCATCCACCCTCAGGAGACCAGTGACACAGCTAATCGTGAGGTCAGCCTTCTGAAGCCACACACAAATAAAAAACCTTACACATACCTAGTGGTTCCAAACAATTTTTTTTTTGAATCAACTATAAAGAAATAAGTAGTCTTATTAGGTTAAGTGCAACAGATACATTAAATAAATTCCTGCAGTGTTTAGTAGCAGTTAATAGTTTCCATGTAATGTTACATAAATAACATGTTATGAGCATCATAATTGCATTACACATCGCATCAAAACTATACTTTAGCAATAGCTATTTAGGATGTGCCAAAGATGTCCTTTGGTTCCAAAAGGACCAAAAGGTTTTGGAACCAAAGGACATCATTGACACATCATTTGCACTTCTATACTGTGCAAAAATTATGCAATTGTCCAGGGTGTGGGCCTGTTATCCACAAAGTTTTCCAGCTTTCCCAAAGCCTCCTAAAATTTGTGGAGTGGTTTAGGGTACTTGATGTGATATACTTTCTAACTGGAAAATTTTCTGTAAGTAAGGAAAAAATCTAGGCAAAATATTTCTGACTTATGGCTTAATTCAATATTCTATACATAGAAGTCCTAACAACAACAACAACAAAAAGTCCTTGTCTACCTGCCTGAGTGCACACGGGTTTACTGGTTGGAATTTACACACAGAGGGAAATCTTCTTCCATGAAAGTCATGGTCTATTTTTCTTTGCCTTTTTTTTTTTTCAGAGGGAAATATACTGGAGGCTTCAAGGACTTCTATACTGTGCAAAACTTATGCAATTGTCCATGGAGTGCTTTTCTGAGACCATAGAGCACTGTGTACTTCAATGAGTATTTCTTCTTACCCTTGTGTTGGACTGGAAGCTACTTTGAAATTTATTGTATGGTTACATTGTCCAATGATGCTAAAGATGTACTTGAACTTTAAGGGCAGAAGATCGAATCGAATCCATCTAACAACACTTTCGCAATGCTTGTTACTCAGAGATTTCTTGAGTGTTACAGTGAAGCTTGGTGGCAGTAAGGTCTCCAAGAAGGAGTTCTCAGTTTTTCTTTGTGTCCTGATCTTGGTGGAAAACTTGCAAAGATTTATCATGATGGAACAGAAAGAATTGCAACTTGTTTTACAATTTATATAGTTGATGTGCTATTTTGCCAAAATTTATGTTCTATCATATTTTAGAAAGTTCTACAAAATGTTCTGTTTTGGAACCAAAGGACATCATTGGCACATCAGAATGGAACACATGCTCTCCCAGGAAGGAAACGTTATGATGTGAAAGAGGCACAAATACTTTCCCCTGCTTTTAGTTCTTTTCAACATATATAGACTAAGCTTTAAATAATGACCAATAACTGAGCGGTGTTGAAATCACAGCTGCAGATTTGGGAAAGAGTTATAAAGGATGCATATGTTGTGTCATATATAGTTGGCGCATGATAACACAACACACAAAATATGATAGAGCACGAATTTTACCATAGAGTACACATCAGATATGTGAATTGCAGAACAGGTAACAGCTGTTTTGATTCTGTAATGGTGAATTAATGCAAGCTTTCACTGATATCGGAACAAAAGAAAACCTATGAACTCCATCTTGCAGACTTGTAGATTAATGACCACTACATCTCAAGATATCTCCTGATGTCTTTTTTGACTAAGGATGTTTGTCTAATGTGAATCTAAACAAAGTGGTAAAATTTCAAACATACTTTTAGGACAGTAACACAAAAGTTAAAAAAGAAATAAACTTCTGATAAGTGAGTGGGGAAAGATCTACATTTTCTCCACACACACAAAAAAATCTACACTTTTTTCCTACTGAACTTTTCCTAGGACATGGCACATGGTTATCATTATGTTCCTTGATCTCATACTATTTTGAACATTTCCAAAATCCATATCAGTGACATTGGAAATTCCATTTTGACATTCTAGAGAAAATTTCCTAAGTTAAAATAGCATATTATATGTGAAGAACTTAAGTAGGCACTACATGTCCAAATCATATGTAATTTTTTTATTAAGTAATATGTAAAGATCCCACATTGTGTATTTAATGATTTACTTCAATATATTCTTTTTTCTCAGCCATTATGTATTTCCAATATCATCAAAAATAGTTTATTTCTACTTGCCATAAAATATTCTGAGAAAAACATTTTACTAACTGTAAAATACTAGAGTGTTCTGATCTATTCTGAATCCATTGCTAGTAGCATGATTGAATCTTTACTGACGCCGCAAACAGGTTACTTAAAACCTGTTAATTAAATCTATTAGGAAAAATAGAAAAAAAGCCACACGATCACCACAAAAGGAAAGAAACAAAAATAAATTAGAATTTACATAACAAAAAGTATTTTCCATTTGAAAAATATTTATATATGAAATTTTCATCAGTTTTATAAAGGTAACAAATTTTATTTACTATAGAGGGACGAATTTAAATATGAACTCAAAATAACCCAAACCATCAAGTATAAAGATACAGCACAGTGTTCTTAAAAGTAGGCATTTAACCAAACAATAATCTGGTTCATTTGATAATTCATAGATTATAATTATTTTGTCATTCTGACCTGGCCTATTTCCAGTCTTCTTGCAGAAGGTACAATGATGAGCAGGAGTGTACGCTTGTGATTCCTTAGTAAGTCAAATAACTTATTCAGTGGATGTAGGGATGACTGAGCTTAGCAGAAATCCTCATAATGGAATGGTGTGAAAATGCAAATATGCGATATCCACTTAAGCTTTATTTTTTTATCAATGGCTAAACTATTAGCCTCATTTCTTATGTAGGTATAACATCTTTCCATGTGAGCATTACAAGTTTTGGGTGTTGTAATCCTTATGCATTCCTGTGAAATTGGTCAGGTCTGACCACATTTTACGGATGTGAGCCCAAGCCATCCCCCTCCTGCACTGTACCTTCTCCTCATTTGGCATTTTTGGGGGAGGCAAAAACTATGATTTACATTCAAATAGTCTCATCATCTCATATTCCCTCTACCTAGAATCTTCTTCATTTGGTAAAAACTTATTCATTTTTACTTTTCATTCTGAAATCAACTCATCTCTGAAATAGATTCTACTGAAATAGATTTAATTATTCCTGACTATGATCCTTCTAGCACTTTACTTATAACTGTTGACATAACATTTATTGTATCAGGTCAGTTGATACACACATCTGCTTCCTCCTACTAGGGCAGACATCTTTATATCCCTCCCACAGATCCTGGTACAGGGCCTGGCATGAAACAGCTGTTTAATATTTTCTTCAAATTGAGTGACCCCCACAGACAACGGGTAAGAAAGACTGGGTATTTTGACTATTTGTGTCCTTGAAATAGATCTTGTAGTGGAAGAGAAAAAGGCTTAAGAGTGAAGAAGGATATTAATATAAAATCACAAACAGTGATTAAACATGTCGATAAAGGAGGAAAAGAAAAGGCCCAAATCCAACCCCACCAGCACTGGTGATATCACAGGTGAATTTAATCATAAGCAGGCATACTGCTGGCCATTCAAAGAAAAGAATTTCATTCCTGATTAATGAATGATTTCTTGCTTAACTACATAATTGTGTTGTATGCACGCTTGAAGACAGAAAGAAAAATGGGAAGGATGTTATTAATAAAGAGAAGTCTATCATTAAGAAAGAGAAACCCAATGGATACTGGCAATTCGGCTGTCCTTTTCAGAAAGGACCTCCAAGAGAACATACCTTTCATAATCAGTCTGGTGAGGGGAGAAATGTACAGTAAATACAAACAAGAAAATAGTCCTAGAGTCCCTACCTCACACCAATTTGCCCTGCCGAGAATTTTTGCAGATTCACCCGATTCACTTGCATGAGCCATATACCATGACTCCTAATTAATAGGGAAGGAAATTTAAGATGGGAATGCTTGAATGACTTGTGGAGGTTGCAAAGTTAGTGGGGGAACTTTGGTTAATCCAGGTTTTGGAGATCTTCCTAGGATACTGGATATCGGCCTCCTTTCGCATTTGGAAACAGTTACTCACCTACTGCATTACATAAGAATTATTCTCATTTTAAGAAACTTTGTTTAAGCTAAGTTTCACATTTGCCAAATTGTAGTTTGATGATGCCTTTCATGTGAAGGTGGAGGAAATGGCTATATTCTTTGGGCATCTTATGGAAACCGAGCTTAGGCAACTGATTGTCATAGTAGTGATGGCTGACAGGTGTGTTCTCCACAGTCTTAGAGAAGGGCCAAAACCCATACAACTTCACATTTTCACACATTTCCACAGCGACACTTGCGATCATCAAGCCAGTGGACAAGCGGTATGCATCCACACCTTTAGTTCTCCAGAAAAGGCCAAGCTGTTTCAGGTACTTGGGATGGAAAAAGAGAACCTTCTGTCTTGCTTTGGACTCTCTGAGTGTGTGATACACTTTTAGGGAGGGGCCAGTGTTTGCCCTGTAGGAAAAGGCTGGCAGAAGAAGGAACGCATCTCCGTAGGTCGCAATATCCTGCAGAAATTCTGCTTTCTTCTTTAAGTTCTGGTATCTGCCAAATTTTTTAAAAATCATAGTTGTCAAAGTAATAATAACCAGAGTTAACTAGAGGATGAGTTTACCGGTAGTCAAAAACAGAACCATTTATTACCCCATGTATAAAAGAGCTAAACTATGAACTCTGAAAAATCATGCAAGCATTATGAAGATATCAAGAGTTATATCTCCCTTGGAATATCTAGGTTTTCAAGTTCTACCTTCTTACTGGACCATCCCCTACTGGATAGATATTTCTTGTATTATTTAATATTCCTCCTCAGTCATCTTATTTCTAACATTGCTTTCTGATGCTTTAACATCTTGCAAATGTACAACCACATTTTTTCAAGCATTCGAAAAATTTATTGAGCTATACATTTGTAATTTGTGCACTTATTGTAAATATTTAATTATAAAATAGAAATTTCCTTTAGAAAACCTGAAACACATATGGGCAAATATAAGTAGCCATTTATATTAGGTTAAAATTTTCTGTATGCATTATGCTATCACTATTATATATAATTTAGAGGATACCTTAGTAAGTGTTGCAGTGAAAATGATTTTTGAGTATTTACTAAAGTAAGCTTTTGGAAGGCAGGTACAATATAGTTTTATCTCAAGAGATTCTGGAATTGTTTGGAGGGGCATATTCTATTAATAATGCTCATCAGTCACTTTTGATGAAAACAATAGAGTAAACATATGGTTGGGATTTTTATGAGACAATCAACATTCTGCAGCAGCCACACTGCAGATATGAAACACAGGAATTATTTTTATGTAATTTTTAAAATTTATATATGACAGAAGAATGCATTACAATTCTTATTACATATATAGAGCACAGTTTTTCATATCTCTGGTATATTCACACCAATTTGTGTCTTCATACATGTACTTTGTATAGTAATGATCATCACATTCCACCATCATTAATTACCCCATGCCCCCTCTCTTCCCCTCCAACACCTCTGCCCTATCTAGAGTTCATCTATTCCTCCCATGCTCCCTCTCTCTATCCCATTATGAATCAGCCTCCTTATATCAAAGAAAACATTCGGCATTTGGTTTATTGGGATTGGCTAACTTCACTTAGCATTATCTTCTCTAACTCCATCCATTTACCTGCAAATGCCATGATTTTATTCTCTTTTATTGCTGAGTAATACTCCATTGTGTATATATGCCACATTTTTTTTTATCCATTCACCTATTGAAGGGCATCTAGGTTGGTTCCACAGTTTAGCTATTGTGAATTGTGCTGCTATAAACATTGATGTGGCTGTGTCCCTGTAGTATGCTGTTTTTAAGTCCTTTGGGTATAGACTGAGGAGAGGGACAGCTGGGTCAAATGATGGTTCCATTCCCAATTTTCCAAGGAATCTCCATACTGCTTTCCATATTGGCTGCACCAATTTGCAGTCCCACCAGCAATGTGAGTGTGCCTTTTTCCCCACATCCTCTCCAATCACAGGAATTATTTTGTCAAGATAAACTATTCAATGTGAAAACTGTATTTTGCCAGGCTGTCCTAAGGCTTACCCCCAAATGTCTAAATACAATAAATCTTATGAAGAAAGTGCCACAAAAATAAAAGAGTAATGCTAAAACTCTGAAAGAACATGGAATAAATTAACTTCACTAGTATTGAAAAAGGATGAAGAGATAAATAAGTTCTCGTTTGATCAAAAACATCTAGCTTATGACATTAGGCGCACAACTGAGTCATACCTTTGATGAACCACAACCTCTGTAGGATGTCAAAATTTGCTAATGTATTCTTTTGTATTTTCCCCCAAAACCATTCCAGCTGTATTGCAAGTCATCCTTAGCAAAGAGATTAGCACTTAGACTGAGAAACATGTTAAACAATGAAAAAGTATTCTTGAACAGTTATGTAACTTGGAGATACTTACTTTAGCATTATTATACTGGGATTTATAGTCACAAGATTGGTTTTACTGCCAACATCTTTACTAACATTTCCGTTGGTTGGAGGGATGTTACACCTGAAATATTTAAGAAAAACTATTTTCAAAATATAACTTGTAAGAAACAAGTATATACATATATATATATATCCAAACCTAGGATAAATGTTCCTATGTCAGAGAAAATCATTGCTTTTAAAAAAGAACCTCAGAATCCATTTGATTTCCATTTAAAACTATTTAATAAGTACTTAACTCGTAGCTGACATTTTAATGTATATAAAATAGACAAATTTGATAAGTACTTTCAATATTTTAGTACATTTTATGAGCATCAAAACCAGAAATGACAACTACACCTTGCCTAGCTTTTGAAGGGACTTTAATCCTTTTATTAAAATCATCACTTATATTGATTATATTTCCACAGTGGTATGATAACTAATTTACAGACTTAAAAATAAAATTTGAGGTGCTGCAATCAAGATCAAGCATCTTCCAGAAACAAAGACTATATAAAAACATCAAAATCTCCTAATTTCCATATGGATAGTTTTGCACCAAATTATGGCATTAATAAATAAAGCCTTAATGTTCTCATAGTGACAATGACATACTGATTTTCTCATCTTCCTTTGAGCACTAATTTGTTTTTACATTGAATTCTAATTTAGAGTATATTTTAATAACAAGAAAAGGAGGAAGATGGCTCTGACTCTCTAAATATATTTGAAATTTGAAGTGGCTCATCTCTTTAAAGCTAAGCAGAAAAAGAGAGCACCAAGTGCTTCCTAAGGAAGGCTAAAATAATGTGACTGAGGCTGAAATGTTCTGTTCCATGCCATATGAAACACAGGGAAAAATGAAACAAGCACTTTCCTCTTTGATACAAAAGATACACCAGAAAATAAATATGGCGCCTTGGGGAAGTAAATTAGTGGGCCTCCTGAATCAACCCACAGTCCCATTCTTTTGAAGAATCAAAAATGATCTCCAAGATGGTACCACAGGAAACTCCTAGGGGAAATATACATATTACATATCATATAGATACACAGTCACAATAGTATGGTCGTAGCATAGGAATAGTATAGTTATTGACTAATTTTCATTCCTTACACATTTAAGTTGTAGCTCCATTTTTTTTTGAAATGGAAGAAAAATAAGCAGCTTTCAAATTGTCTTATAAACTATCAACATGCAGAGGCAAAATAATTACTATCTGAAAAAATTAAATAAATTCTAATGACATCCACCACACCTAACCCTCATTTTGCCTTTCAGTTTTACTGCCCAACTTCAAAAGGAACTCTATGTTCAAAAAAACATCTGGCATCAGCAAAAGTAAAATCCAGAAGCAAAGGCATTTATTTTGGAGTTATAAATGAAATAGCTGCTGAGACTGTTTTGTTTGTTTGTGTTTTGAACCCAAATTTGTATTTCCTATACTTGCTATAAAGTAAAATCAATGTTTAGACATAATATTCAACACAGATGTTTGGGGAATTTTAAGTCTGTAAAAAGTCTATTGCAAGAAGAGTTATTTATCTTCATTATGGGTTTTTCCACACTGGGAATTTGACTGAAATGGCTAACTTAACATTGACCATGAAGAACACATTCAATAATTGTTGGTCTGTCATTTTCTTCAATGTAAAATTTTAAAATGAGATTCAAGTGAGGAGGAGCTATTTATTGAAAAAATCATAATCTTGTTTTCAAATGATAAAAGGGGTAATGTTAAAGCGCAAGGGATCAAAAGACCTCTGATATATAAAATCAATACTCGTAAAACTGAAATAACAGGTTTCTACCAACTCTTTAAAAAGGTGCATTTCAATTGAAAACCATCCTCAGATGGATGAATCACCTTTCTGTCATACTTTGAGAGTGGAAATGTTTTGTAGCATGTCTTATTAGTATGAGGCACACATAGAAACCGTTTTTATTTCTATTTTCGTAAACTAGGTAATATCAAGATAAAAATGACTTAAAACTAGAATTGAGGGAACCTGCAAAAAATATACATATTTTTTTAATTTCAAGAGAGAAAACTAAACAATGATGTTCATGGCTTAAAGTGTCAAGATCAGCATTTTTCTTAGCTACTGGAGAACAAAACTTCTGTGACATTCTCTGTAAGAAAAAAAAAAAAGGACTTCAAGGTCAGATGAGACTGGGAATTACTCCTCCCTGGAGTCCTTCCCAGGGAGCAATGCTATCCATTTAACTGGTAATGGCCCTGATAAATCCTGTAATCCCAAACCCTCTTTCCCTATGATTTCTTTCTATCAACAGTAGATGAAGATGGCACGTTTTCATCTTTCTGGTATGAACCTTCTGAGGACCTCATGAGCCATGTAACAATTCAGGAAAGCCCACCTGTGGATTTTAGCATGCACAACAACTCAAAAGTCAAAATTGATACAGGGTATATTTTCATTACCCTCTTTATCCAAATGATCTTGGGTTTCCAAGAAAACATTGACAAGTCTTACCTAAAAACAAAGTCGAATTTATCTATTTCAGCTCCGCAGAGAGAATTATTCAGAATCCCCCCATTTCCAACCACGGCACACTGTTTATAAGGATACTCCACAAAGGGCTGGGACTAGAAGAAAATAGTGGAAAACTAGCATGAAATACCATTCATTTCAGAGCCACAAACACCATCAGCTTAATTCCAGTAACTTAACTCTTCATATATGCTAAGCAGAAGGAAAAAAAAAAACATAGCAAACTGATCAACTTATTATGGCTTCTAATAAAATATCATTACATAAACCTGTTTGATTTCTCTTAAGAGGAAAAGGCACCACAAAATATACAATAAAATGTAAGAGCACAAAGCATAATGTATTTGCATACGAAATATAATATATAGGGTACATCACGTAAGTAATAGAATGGAATGGCAAAATTTCATATCTTTCCAACCAAATGGACATTTTAGCACACAAAAAAGGAAAATATAAAGAAGTTAGAAAGTAGCATTAAATCTTTTATTCTAAGGCATAAAATTAATAGGTAATTTAGCAATAGTTTCCTGTGCATCTTAAATAGAGCTTCAGGCTCAGTAATGGTTTAGATTTATGCTTGCTGGTTCTGCAAATGACCAGCCGGGTGCTTCAGGAGGACCTACTAACTCTGGGCTGACATACTTCACATCAATTTCCGAGGCCTGAGTATTTTTCATTTCCTCCCAGAATCTACCCCGCTTATCCCACAAGGTTTCCCATTTTCCCAGAGTCCTCCACAGTATGAAATATAACTTTTCAATTCAACAGTGCACTTCACCTTTTCTGGTCACTCCCTTAAAGTCATAATGTGTACTTGAGCCTGCAGCAAGAGTGCCAGCTCACACCCCACGGTGATGACGTCCTGGTCCTTCTACTTTGTCTCTAATATTAGAATGTAAGTCTTCAAGGGCAGAGAGGGTGTTCCTTAGCTTTTCATTTCCCTCCAGTTTTCCCTCCATATCTAGCCTTGCACAATGTACACAGTGAGTACATACTTTATGTTTCCCCAGGGCAGACCCAGCGGTGTGCTGGAGCTGCCTCATTCCGATTGTAGGAGCCAACTGAGCAATATTCAAGAACTCCACGAGTTGCCAGCTAAACCACTAGTATCTTGAAATCAGCCATGATGTTGATGTTGAAACCATTGAAAATGGCAAAGGCTATAAAATCTAAGACAAAACCCCTCCCCCAAGCCATTTCACCAACACCACTGTCCACAGCCCAGGGCTGATGTGGTTCTGGGCAGCACAGAGTGCTGGCAGAGACCCAAGTCACTAGCTACCACCTGCTCCCGATGCTGCATCTGGGAAATGCCCAACCAGCCAAGAGAATTTTGATCCAGTACTTCTCTCTCTGTAAGTTTGTTTGTAAAATTTAAATTAAACTTAACTGCATGAAAGGCACCATTCCAAGTGTATAACTTTTGAGCACATTTAATCCACACAACCATCTCATGAGCACTTCACAGATGGGAAAACAGAGATATGAATTTAAGCAACAGCTACAGAGAAGCATAGCACTCCCTGTATGAATCCAGGGAGTCTGCTCTGGAGAACCTGCTGGTGCAGTTTCTTACTAGTCAGTGAGTACAGGGTTAATATAACTGTGTGACTTATTCCTATTTATATCCACAATGCCTACCAAAGCTCCTGCCTTTTAAATGAATGGTTCTCTGATACCTCAGGCTACTTTATGTTACTGAACTTTCAGCTCAGGATGTCTTCAGACAGTGTTCACTCAATGGTACCACAATAAATTCTGAATTTTATAGATAGGGTAGAACACAAAAATGCAAATCTGCTTTTTATGGTACAATAGAAAAGATTACTGAGGGATATATATCTCAAATTAAGCACTCAAAATAACAACTGTGTTCTATGGTTTCTTGGTCAACTGGGGGAAAACATCCATATGTTTTGGGAATCTCATGTTCAATAGGAGATGAAATAAATTACAAACCCTAAAATAAACCTCCTAAGAAAATGCAAATTTGCATGGCTCAACAGCCTGCTCATTGCTCACTCTGGTTGAAAATCAACTTTGTTGTTTTCCTTTTCAAGTAGCTTTACCAAGTTTTTGGAGAAAGTGACTTTGCACCATTAATCAAAAGCATTCCTTGCCATCTGCTGTGTGCCCAGCCATTCTACTGGGTTGTGGGTTGTGGAGGGGCAGAGTAGAATAGGGTGGACAAGCAGGCAGCAAGGTAGGAAAGTGGTCAATTACACCATGAGTCCCATCCAAAGAAGTTGAAAGTTGAAGTAACAAGGGGTTGCACTGGTTCTAGAATTCATTTCCCCACTAGTCCAAACTGGGAAAATGGATGCAGTTGTTCACATGCAGAATATCCATCTTATGCTTTTTCTTCTAAGATGCCAAGTGAGGGGCTGGGATGTAGTTCAGTTGGTAGAGTGCTTGCCTCGCATACACAAGGCCCTGGGTTCAATCCCCAGCACCACAAAAAAAAAAATAGGGGATCTGAGCACCCTCAGATTTCAGATCTGAAGGGGACTTAATCCCCCATTGATACCAAAGGATGACTGTGTTCAGAAATCACTCTGCAGCTGGGGTTGTGGCTCAGAGGTAGAGTGCTTGCCTAGCATGCATGAGGCACTGGGTTAGATCCTCAGCACCATATAAAATAAAAAATAAAGATATTGTGTCTACCTATAACTAAAAAATAAAAAAAAATATTGAAAAAAAAGATGCCAAGTGAGAGGCAGAAGATCTTGTGCTTCTTGCTGGTCAGCTGAAAGCAAGATAAACACCAGCAGAAGTTGCATGAGTAAAGAGTTGCCCACTGCAGTCCTCTCCAAGGCCTTCCTAATAAGGAACAGAAAATATTCTTTTGTTATTAAATTTTAAATTATAGGCTATTTCATTGCACCATGAGAAAGCTTTATGAGTTTCCTTCTTGAAGAAACATGGTCTGTACAACTATAGACCATGAATTGCATTAATTTTGTTGATTTCAAAAGACTATATTTTATCTTCATAAAAATTTTCTCTACTGCCAACTATTTCTTTATGAGTTAGTTTTTGTCCCCCTTCTTTTCCACAAAGCTTGTGGTATTTTTTTCCTTCGTCATTTTCTATTTATTTTTCATTCATTCTCAGGAAATTATCCTTTCTCTGAATTGTCATACAAAAAAAATCAAAGCAATTTACATGAGCAGCAATAAGTTAGTTAAAAGAAGTCAAAAGTCCAACAGAAGGGAATTAATTATAAGACTCTAATATCCCAAGGTTGGCAAACTGTGATTCCATATTGGACCATGTTGATTTGGCCTCGTAACTTTTATATGGATCATGAAAAGATGCCTGAGAGTATATGTTCGTACACAACCAGATTTTCATGACAAAAATTTCCCCAAATTTGGGTTTGTATTTAGTGATAAGTTTTTCCACATTTGTGTCCAGCAGTAGAAAACCATATCGTTACTAATTTGTTTTCGTAACAAGTATATGTAGTGGGGAATGTTCTAGGAACTTTGGCTACACAGGGCAGACAATAATCTCTATATTATGAATGTTTGTTTATTTTCCAAAAATTCTTATATATTTACTTCCCAAGATAAGCCACATCAACCTACAGTTTCTTTGTGAATGAATTGATGTAGTCACCAACGTTGACAACTAGAAGCATCTTATTCCAGCATTTAAAAAAAAATGTTATCTGCACAAGCCTCAGTAATTACAGTAATTATAATGAAGAAAGCCCAAGTGCCTCATCTCATTGAGAGACAGGAGGAGTCAGTAGATATAAATGACAAATGTCCTTCCCTTCAGAGCCACACCACATTCAGAATTGCCTTTCTGTGGATAGGGATGCAGCTCAGTGTGCACCACTTGACTAGAATACGTGAAGCCCCTGGATTAATCCCCAGCAGCATAAAAAAAAAATGCCATTTAAAAAGGTTTCACTATACATATTTTATACAACATAACAGAAAATGGTAGTATTTTAATCATCCATCCATTCATTCATTACTGTAAGTTACAATTTGAAGTGAGAGAAAATTTATCCACCACAAAATCTTTACTCACCGCAGGAAGCATATGAAAAATGTTCTCTCCGATCGGGATTGTTCTTTTACTTTCCACCTCGTAGCTCATGTTAGTTCCAATAGGAGTGTTATTTTGAGAAACCACGAAGTTTTGAATAGCATCACAACAGGAAGTAAGTTTTGCTCTGCAATGGGTAAGAATGAAAGTGAGCTGAGGAATGAGACTAGGAAACCAAAAATAGAGATCACAATGGAGAAGGCGAGAGAGGAGCTCCACCGGCTGACTTTCCAAAGCCACCAAAAGACAGGGTAAAAATGGCAGGGAGCACACTGAAACAGACCCAGTAGGGGGTCTTCTCACCAACATAAAATACTCATGAGAATAACATTTGTAAATATGAAGACATCCTGTAATGATGTTATTATAATATTAGAAAGAAAAAAAATGAAAGAATCCATGAGAGCACTCTCCTTCATCCACAGTTTCAGTTGCCCCATGTCAACTGCAATCCAAGAATATTAATATTTGTCTTGACTCTTCCAAAGGAGAGGGACCCTATTCATATAACTTTCATTATAGTCCATTGTTACAATTGTTCTTTTTGTTATTAGTTATTGTGATTAATCTCTTACTCTTCCTAATTCATAAATTAACCTTTATCTTAGGTGTGTATGCATAAGAAAAGCAAGGTAAGATAGAGTTTTGAGTCATCCACTAGGGGCTTCGTGTGTCCCTTGAGGATAAAGGGGGAAGACTGTATAATTATTTTACAATAATTATAAAAATACAGAAACTAAGAACAGTATTACCATCACTGGAACAACGTACAATCAATTTGTAGGAGACACAGCCGAGGTAAAGAAAAGCCATTAAATATACTGATTTTTAAGTGAAGTGAATGTAAACTTATAATTCCTTCCAGGAAGCCCAGAAACTGTTAATTAGTATCAAGCTGTACTTCAAAATTATTACCGTGGAACGAAACATTATTTATAGAATATGCAGATCCAGCAAGGTGCTTTCAGGGATCATCTGAGTTAGCCCTCACCCTGTAGCAGGTGAATGTCAAATTGCTCGGGATCTATATTTTGTCTAATTTTTTAATTCTCCAGGGACAGAGATTCCAAAACATCTGGAATAATTGATAAATTATTCCAGGGTTTAATCAACCTCAAAGTCTGGGGATTTTTCCATTTGCAAAACTAAACCAGATCTTAAATCCCTTTTCTCTGATAGTTTATTTCATAGAAGCCTTCTCGCAGGAACACCATGTAACTAAAAACAGTAATCAAACATTTGATTGACCTTTCAATCTTGACAGAATTTCCTCCTTCTCTCAGATTTTTCCTAATAAGAGTAGTTTTCCATTATCTTAGTCACCTTGTTCCTCTTTAAACCCTGACTTATTTCTCCATGTTACTTAAAAAATTATGTATGCAAGCTGGATACACCATGGGAGAACAGAGAGTGGGTCTTCTGCTAGAGCTGACTTTAGTGACATTGATTATAATTGGTCCTTTCCCATTATGCACTTTTATTACTGGTTCTTGGTTCTTCCGAGCATACTATTGTGTACGTCCTACTGAATTTTGTCCTTTTGAAAAAATACAATGCTCTAATTTGTCATGTTCATTTTAAATTCAGTCTTTCTGAATTCTGATAATTCTCATGGGATGAAAGTCAAGGTGGTATTATTTGTACCCCAAGGTCAAGGTTTTCAACAGTGCTTTACATTATCAGTTAACTTATTTCACAAAATGTACATTTTCTCCCTTTTCCCCCCGTATTTTGCATCGACGCATTACAATTATACATAATAGTGGGATTCATTGTGGTATATTCTTCTTAATTGAATTCTGTTACCTGCTTATTCCTTTTTGTGTTTTTGTTCTGAAAGAGAATTCATGGAGATTAACAAAAGAAACAATAAAAATGAAACGATGCATAGTCAACAACATGGTACTCAGTAGTATTTGATTATAAATTTAATTTGGTAGCAATTCATGTGACACATTGCAAACTCAGAAACTTTAATGTGTTTATGATTTTAAGTGTCTCTTTTATCCAGCTTTTTGAGAAACTGAAATGTAATAAATTCTCATTTACCTTTGACAAGTAACTTAATGTCTCTAAGGATATTTTATGCTTATAAGAATATCGCATCACCAAAAACATTAACCAGATTCCCATGGTGCTTTTTTATATTAATAATTTTTTTCTGAAATTATATTTTTAAAAATATATTGATATAAAAATTTCAAACCTACAGGAAAGTTGAAAAAATTGGGAAACCAATTATATTTTATATAAAACCAGCTATATTTTATGATTGACTTTTTATTAATTCCGCCTTATTGTGTATCTATCTTCCAATTTTTGTTGTAGTTATTGCAATTCAAAATAGACTGCTGTCCTCGGTACACTTCACCTCCAAATGCTTCCTACCTCTCTCTACTCCCTTTTCAGTCATAGAGGCAACCATTTTTGTGGTTTCTAACTTTTTTTTTAACCACAGATCAGTTTTGCCTAATTATAAAATATAATAAAGAGAATCATATAGTGAATGTGATTTTGTGTAAGACTTCCCTTATAGCCTAACCGCTTTTGCAATTCATTCGGGTTGCACCTTTTTATTGCTACAATCATATTCCATTTTATGGATGTACCAGAGACAGGTGAGCCAACCTCCTTACACTTTTTAAGAAATCACTAACAAAAAAAAATTAAATACCTAATTATGCATAATAATCTGCTGGGGAAAATATCAGCATAATAATCTGAAAAACCATTTCTGAAGCCTGCCTTTAGTCACAAACTAATTAAACTTTTTAAGTCTGTGTATTCTGCTACAGAATGATAAATGCATGATGCACTTTGTCACTCCCCAGCTATTACTCTGGCTCAGAGTAACAGCCAGTGGCAACATAAAACCTAGCTGCTTATAATCTCCAAAATAAAACAGATTTAAAAACAAAAAGAAAGATCTCTGTTATTCCATTTCTATCAGCCTAAGAAGAATCAACTCTGATCTTTGGTCACTCCAAAGTGAACTAGATATGTTCACAATAATGAGAATGGCAATTCTTCCCTTCTTGTGAAAAAAAAGGTGGAGACATTATGAAATGGAGGATGCTGTTAGTATTAATTGGAAAATCCCCCATTTCCATGATGGCCAAACTATCTCTAATGTGAAGTTCCACACTCCACAAGAGTTGGTGTCCAGCCAGCTTGACAGGGGCAAGCCAAGCATCCACAAAGCACTGTGTTCTTTCCACCACATTGGCACACTCATGCCCACTTTGATTCCCACTTTGGAGCAGCAGACAATACTGTTATTTTCATTTCACAGATGAGAAAACTGAGGATGAGAGACCGTAAGTGATATGACCAAGGAATTCAGGTTATAAACAACTCAAATCTGCATCTTATGATAATAAGTTCTTGATAGTTTACATGAGTATATTGAAATTGTGAGTAATGCTGTCATTTACTCCTCTTCCTTTGGGATGCTTTCCAAAATGGTACCGTGATATAATAGTCATTCATAAGCAAAGTGATCCAAGCATCACCTGGCTACACAATCTGCCTAGTCACAACCCAAAGGCTACCATATCACTTATACGTACGTTAAATGCTTCAAAACTCTATCCAGATATAATTAAACATAAACTCTTGTTTTCCTTATAGGATGCTCAGGGTTCTCTGTGGGACCAGGGATATCAATTGATCGGATCAATGTGCCCTAAACACTTGCTGGATCCCACATGTAGCAACTTCCTTCCCATAACCCAGGTTCAAGAGAGAACACACTGTTCACCACCCCCAGAAAAGAATCAGGATTCCCTGGACTGCACAGAGTTCCAGAATTCAGAAGAATTCGTGTACTTCCCAAAGTGCCTAACTTTCAAGGAGTAGGTTGGTCTGGGTAGAATCCAGCTTCCTATTTTTTAATCTTAATCTATAAATTTGGACTCTGAAAATGTACCAACTCATTTTGTATCCCAGATGGTCTAATAAATACACTTTTAAGAAAAGGATATTTATTAAGATTATAGAAATTTCTTTTTTCTTTTTCACCACAGGTGCTATTTCCTTTATTTTTGTTTTTTTTTTTTTGTTTTGTTTTGTTTTCTTGTTTCATTCATTTAGAATCTCAGGTCAAAATTGTCTTTTAGTTCTAAATGGAATGCTACCTGGATTTTCATGAAATGTTAATGACTCCTTAAGGCTTATAGCAGTCAGGACACTATTGGACACACTGAATACTAACGACCTCCCGCTCTGAGCCCATGGTTCCCAGGCATCTCTTCTGTTTATTAAACCCTCTGAGATTCCCTAATGAGATGTGGGCCACTCAGGGAGGGGTGGGGAGACTGCAGGCACCTTCTAACTATTAACAAAGAACTACCCTTCTAGGATTCATTCTTTATGGTTCTAATGAGAGTCCTGGAAAAGGAGCTTCAGCGTAAAAGCACCTGAGGAAATGCGAAGGATATGCTTGCCATTCTAACCGTTTCTAATAAAGCGACCCATTTTTTCCCTTTCAGAAAACCACAGCATACTGAGCAAAGTGATATGCCAATGGTCCCTCTTAAGATTGCCTTCATTTCTTTTAAATTTGTAACAAACAGAAATTTGATGGCCCTTTATTGTTGCCTTTCCTCTGGTCTCTCCCTACATTATACAATTCACAAATTGACCAATAATGTCAATAACAAACACCTAGTGCAGTCTCACTATGTGCTAAATATTTTATCTGGATTATTACATTTAAGCCCTCTGATAATCCAACAAAATAGATACAATCAAAAATTCCCTTTTCACAGATGAGGACCACTTGGGATCACAAAGTTAAGGTCACAAATCACATATTCATTCATTCAATCATATTTGTTTAGCTTCTATTAAATACTGAGCACTATATGAGGGGCTGTCTACACACTGGTGAACAAAATAATCATTTTCTTTGCCTTTATAGTGTTTTTGATCTAGTAGGGAAGGTCAAAAGGATAAATTGTAAGGTAATAAGCAGGATTAAAACTCAGAACTGAAGTCCTTACTCTTTTCCCAGTGAAATTTTCTAGAACACTCAAATTCATAATTAGAAGCACTTAATAAAGAGAGCTGTGTGAGCTCAGAAGGTCTTTCTACTATTATTCACGTCAATCATGTAGTAGACCCCATGCTCACCTCCTCACTGTCATCATGCCCAAGTGACCAAGCAGAATACTATTCTCCACATCTGCAGAGGGACCTGTGTGTGCAGCTCCAGCAGTTGAGGCATGGGGAAAGTGAGAGATAAGAAATAATTCAGCATTGGGAGTTGAGACCAAGTCATGCCTATTTAGGGACCATTTGAAGGATCCTAGATTTGCAACTTTTAATTGTTTAGCTATAACTCAGCAGTGTGCATTGGCTTCCCAAAATTCAAATGTGGCCTGGAATTGTATAATTAAAGGAAGAGTGGCTGGAGAAGAGACAGAGACACATTCCACTCTGATGCTCAAGCCATACTCCGTGTGTTCAGATCTGTTGTTAGAAGCTTTTCTTTCAAAGGCTCATTGACAAACGGGGGCCTGTCTGGATGGAGCAGATCAAAATCCATGACAGATGAAGAACCAATAATATCCAGATAGCATTGGTCTGGACAGCTTCAGGAGATTCAATAGCTGTCTTCAAAACTTAGGACTATACATAATATGAAGGAAGAAATAAGGATTAATGTATGATTTCAAGCACAGAATGAAGAATGTTTGGGTTTCTCAAAATCCATGCACTGAAATATTAATCTTCAATGTGATGGAATTATGAGGGGAGTCTTTAGGAAGTGATTAGAGGTAGATGAGGTCATGAAAATGAAGCCCTGATGAATATGAAATTAATTACAATGAGAAGTGGGCTATCTGCCACCAAGAGAAGGAATCTCATCTGAACTTATCACAGTCATACTGGCACCCTGATCTTGAACTTCCAGCCTCTAGAACTGGGGAAATAAATGTTGCTCACACCACCCAGTCCATGGTATTTTTTATAGCAGCCTGAGCTAAGACAAGGCTCAATGCATAGAGCAATTCAGCACACATTTACTGGGCAGTCCTAGGTGAGGTTCATGATCCAAGGTCATGGGAATTACGACTTGCAAATTACTCAATGCAAATATAACTAAAATAAGGGTGGGCCCTAACTTCCAGGAGCTTATTCATACTTGGATAAACAGTTATAAGATGTAATTGGTATTGATATCATTTCAATACAATGAGACAAGAAGAGGCTATAAGAGGAACATGAGGGAAGGGCACTTCAGCTAACCTGTGGTTTAGGGAAGATTCTGTAGAGATGGCATTAGCACAGTGCCCAGAGGGTCCTCAATAAATATTTGTTCATTGAATGAATCAACCCATGCTTGGATAATAGAGAGCAAACAGCAGCTGGAGACCAGAGAGAGGAAGTCTGGCTGCAAAGTGGCTGGCAGGCTATCACAAGAGAACTGCCTAATTAAAGACTAGCAAACACAGTGACTCGGGAGGCTAAGGCAATTTCCAGCCTCAGCAATGTAACAAGTTCCTGTTTCAAAATCAGAAATAAAAAGGGCGAGACAATGACCGGGTGATGAGTCGTTCTCTGTGGATTCCCCTGAAGTTCAATATTCCCAGTAGAATTTATTCATTTCACAAATATTTATCAAGAGCATCTTGTGCTCCAGGCATTGTGCTGGACCCAGGTAGAAGCTAAGGGATAATGAGGCACCATCCCTGCACTCATCTTGTATCTAGAACAGCACAATTTAGATAAGTAGAAATTGGGAGATGCTTCAGAGCAATGAAATAATGGTGCTTAACAGTTTGCTACCTACTGTCTAGAGAGAAAGGTCCATCCAGCAGGGATTTTCTTTCTACAGAGTCACTGAACCACAGGAAAGAGAATCAATAGATGGGTGTGCAAGCAGGGAACAATTGACACCCCCCCCCAGAGAGCCATAGAAAACACTGTATTTATAAACTTATACATTTTTGAAAAGGGAAATAGAAAATTCTTTAATGAATTCAGAAAGCAATATTTTAAAAAAATTTTTTAGGGTTTTGTTTTTTTTTTCTATTATTATTAACTGCAATACAGAGGTAGAAAAGGAGAAAAAGTACATCAAGAAGAGAGAAACCAAGATTACGCTGTGACTGTGTTGTTTGTTGTCTCTGTTTTGTTTGTTTTGTTTTGTTTTGTTTTCTCCTTCTTGGTTTCTCTCTTCTTGATGTACTTTTTCTCCTTTTCTACCTCTGTATTGCAGTTAATAATAATACTGTGACTGTGTTGTTTGTTGTCTCTGTTTTGTTTGTTTTGTTTTGTTTTGTTTTCTCCTTCTTGGTTTCTCTCTTCTTGATGTACTTTTTCTCCTTTTCTACCTCTGTATTGCAGTTGATCTTGTAGGAAAGAAAAACAAAACCCTCCCGGGTTCGATCCTCAGCAGCACCACATACCAACAAAGATGTTGTGTCCGCCAAGAACTAAGAAAAAATAAATAAATGTTAAAATTCAAAAAAAAAAAAAAGAAAAAGTCACATAAAAGGGAGAAAGACTTGAGAAAAGCAAAGAGGACAAAAGCTAAAAGATGGTTACACACAAACATCAGGGATGATACGGAAGGTCAGTCCTTGTCCTTGATGCTGATACAACAAGGAGAACAAGGTGGTGAGAAAAAAGGAAACAGAAGTTTTACTGCTTTGCTAGCAAAGGAGAAAGACTATGGACTCAGGACCCAGAGGCTTCCATTCAAACTGCAAAGGGAAACAGAGGGCCTTTAATCACAATGGCTCAGGAGGCTGAGGCAAGAGGATATAAAATTTGAGGCCAGCCTCAGCAATTGGGACCCTGAAAGACTTAGAGAGACCCTGACTCAAATTTAAAAATAAATAAATAAATAAAATGAGTTGGGGATGAGACTCAGTGGAAAAGCACTCCTGGGTTCAATCACCAATACCAAACAAGCAGGGTTAGGGGAGGAAGATGAAGGTTGTTTCCAAGATCATTATCAGTAGATCTAATTACTGTTTAATTTATATCCTTGAAAGAGCTTTTGTTCTAGTTCACAGGTCCAGAGTTTTTTTATTCTTATGGAATAAAAATGCAAGGCAGATAGCTTGACTTAGGACAGAAAGAAGGTTAATCTGACTTCCCCCAAGGTTGAGGAGGGGAAGAAAGAAGAGGAAGGGAAAAGAAAAGGAAAAGAAAAAAAAAACCCTTGCCAGTTTTAAAATAAGCCACACTAGTAGATGAGCAGCAAGATTTCTATTCCAAGCATGAATTGGGCCCCCATTATATGAAAGGAAGCCCTATTATGGATAGACCCCTGAAACATACAGAGAAATGCAAATGTGCACATTACCTGTGAAGAACACAGACAGGACACTCCATAGAAATAAGGGCAGAAATAGACACAATCTATAGGTTCAGAAAAGCACATTAAAAGGAGCAATGTGTAAATTTAAGGTTCATGGACATAGATACCAAAATAATAACAATAAACGCATACATGGTATCCTTCCACAACACTATCCATGTCAGCTTATTTGAACCTTACATTTCTATGAGGGAAGAAAAACTATCACACTCACTACTGATATCCCCAGTTTTCAAATGTTAAATCCCAGTCAGAGAAGTGAAGTGAGGTCATACTGCCTGAGGTCATACAGCGCATAAGTGACATGCCAGGGCTTTAAACCCAGACACTTAACACTGCCTGATTCTCCCTCATTTGCACAAATCAATCATAACAGAGAGACAAAGAGAGAAGAAAAGTCAGCTCCTGTTTCAAGTCTTGTGGATTAACTTGAAATATTTTAGGGGGAAATATCTACATCTTCAGATGTTTTGGAAATTGTGATTAAATCTTTTTAAACCGTGCTGAATTTCCACACCTATATGCATAATAAATGGGCGAAAATAGTAACCAAATCCCTTCCTCCTGGGGCCAGGGAAGACCTAGCCAGGTCCAGGTTAAGGGGCTGAAGGTTGGGAACAGAGGTCCATGGAGTCAAGGTTAAGGCCCCAAATTCCTACCTAGGAAATAGATTATTTAGGGTTGGATGAACCAAGGCAAAGAATAGACTAGATTAGTGGGGGAAGGAGGGTCGAGAAAAGTTGGTACATTTGAAACATATTTAGTGTGTGAAACTGCTAATGTTTAGTGATTGACTGGAAATGGGTACTGAAGGAGAAGATGAAGGACAGCAAGGGTCATGCCCAGGTTTCCCATTGAAGTCTCTTGAGGAAGGGTGGTACCTCTAGGGAAGAGCCTAAGCAAGAGTGGAGAGGACAATGGCTGATGGTAATGAAGGTGGTGACCTGTTATAGTTTTAATTCATACTGAGACTCAGAGATGGAAAATGGACCCATAGAACCCCGAAGTGTGATTATGAAAGAGCTGGGTTGTGAGGTCTTTGAACACAGGAGAGAGACGCAACCAACTGGCTGGCTTCAGATGCCTTTTGGAAAGAGCACAAAGCAACTGCAGAACTGATCTCTCCAGAAACCCCCTAAGCGCTCCAGTTGCATGACTGTCCCCTGCCTTTTCAAAACTGTAAAGTGGAAGTCAATTGCAAATTACGTAAGTGTGAAAAAAGCAAGTTCTAAAAATACAAGGTCAACCGCAAAGATGAATGTTAAGATTTCTGAATATATTTTAGTTTTCAGACAAAATCAATCCAGGTCGCTGTCATTATTGTTCAATGTGTGAAAAGCATGTAAAGAAGTCATTTGTATCAAACTTCAGTTGACAGTTTATACTTTAATTTAGTTAGATATTTGAAGGGAAAATTAAGAAATCTTTTTTAAATTTTTTTTTGTTATAGATGGACGGAATGCTTTTATTTTATTTGTTTATTTTTAGGTGGTGCTGAGGGATGAACCCAGTGTCTCACACGTGGTAGGCAAGCATTCTACCATTGAGCCACAACCTCAGCCTAAGAAATCTTTTTTTTTTTTCCCCTTTCAGACTTTGGCAATATATTGAGATCCTGGACTAACACTATAATCTCACAAAGACAGTTTTGTGATTATAATGCTGAATCAGTCTTAAGTGTAATTATACCAACCTGCTACTTCTTTTTTCTTTATTGGTGGGGTGGTACTGGGGATTGAACTCAGGGACATTTGACCTCTGAGCCACATCCCCAGCCCTATTTTGTATCTTGTTTAGAGACAGGGTCTCACTGAGTTGCTTAGCACCTCACTTTTGCTGAGGCTGGCTTTGAATTCTCGATACTTCTGCCCTAGCCTCCCAAGCTGCTGGGATTACAGGTGTGCACCACTGCACCCAGCTCATGAAGCATTTCTTAAGGGAAATGTTCCCGGTATATTCTGTGTCAATGCCACTTTCTTTTATAAAAGTTCTCATTATTTCCTGAATTTCAACTTACTAGACTTATTCGTAAACATGTGCCCTGGTGAAAAGCACTGCATGTGTATCTCAAGGGGCTTCATCCACACTATGGGGCAGCATCTTGCAGGTGGAGGAACAGGCAGGCAGGTCATCCTCATGGTCATTTGATTAGCCTGGTTCACATACACAAATGCGACCTCAGTGCTCCTAGAAAGCCAGCTCACATTTCAGGCTCTTTTCCAGGACAGCTCCCATGGCTCACAGAATTCATGATCAACATTTTTGGCTCTAGCCCTGAACTCAGCTTCTGATTTTGCCTGGCCTCTGGGAACCATGCACTTATGTTCCTGCTTTTGGCCTCTGGCTGCCTTCCAGTTCATGACTTTTCATCTCTGCCCTCGGGCTTTGCCTTAACAGAACCTCAAATATGAATTATCCATTCCCTCACTGGGCTAGAGATTCCTTATTCAGTCCCGAGCATGGGCTAAATAATCTGTGGAAAGGCAGGATGTATAATTATTGGCTCTGCCTATAATCAGGCTGATTAATTTTCAGGAAATTCAGAGTCGTTTCTGATTAGACCTCAGAGCATGTGATTTGAGTAGCTATCTTGAAAAGGAGGGACAAGCTATGAAACCCACACAGAAAAGTCCTTTTCTACTGAAAATAATGCACAGGAGGATTGCAACTTAGAAAGTTGAAGCTTCATACTTGTTCCTCTATATGACCTATTTTCCATCATGAAAAGATCAAAGAGAGTTCAAAGAGAACAAATTGAATAGGAAGTGTTGGTCCTTACCAAGTGCATGGCATAATCCAAACAAAAGGTTCAGAAAAGCAAAACCTAGGCATATGTGTGTTTGTACCTCTCCTTCCCTTGGCAGAGGTTTGGAACTGAAACTATTATAGCTTTATTGTTACATCATCGACTTGCTATATTTATTATAGATAGCAAGAGTTTAAACCATATTTAGTAAAACACTAATTGTAAGTTAGTAAAATGATATAAAACTGGTAATACTAATATCTATTGTATACTAAGACTCTGACATATAACAGACTCTGTACTGAATGTTTTACATAGTGATTATTCACAAAAACTCAAGAAGCAAGGATTATCTCCATTTCACCAATAAAGAGACTGGCTACAAGTGACTCAGCTAATAATAACAATGATGATATCAATGACCAATAATCAAATGATGCCTTTAGGACATTCTAAGGGGGAATTCACTCAATCACAGAGAACAAATTTAATATACAGTAGTTCCCCTTGATCTGTGGTTTTGCCTTCTGGGGTTACCAACAGTAAATCTGAAAATATTAAACAGAAAATTCTAGAAATAATAATTTATAAATTTTAAATTGCATGATATTCTCAGTAACATGATGAAATCTCATATTGCCTTATCCAGTGTATCCATTTGGTGTATGCTACCTGTCCCCCACTTAGTAGTCATCTGGGTTATCAGATCTACTATTATGGTATTATAATTCCTGTGTTCAAGTAACCCTGGTTTCACTTGATAATCATCCCCAAGCACAAAAGTAGTGGTGCTGGCAATTTTAATATAATATATGTTTATAATTATTCTATTTATAATTAGCAATTATCATTAATCTCTAACTAAGCCTAATT